CCTTCAGGAAACATATAAAAATGTTCTCTTCTGGCCTGCACAGGAGAAGGAGGCTTTGCAATATGCAGGTGGGGTCTGAAGGATGCATGGCTGATTTATATGAGATAGATAGATAGATAGATAGATAGATAGATAGATAGATAGATAGATAGATAGATAGATAGAGTTTGGGGGTGGAGTGTTAAATCATAAATGGTTAGCTGCATAGAATCTCTGGGAATGGGTGGCATACTAGTAACTAACTAATTAACTAACTAACTAACTAAATGCTTTTCCAACAGGTTTCCCTCTTTTAATTTAAATTAATATAATTTTAATTACTTACTAGCTGGTTTGCCATTCACCCCGTCAGTATGAACAAGACCAACCGTTTAGTAAGTAGTGACAACATTGGCTATGCAGCTTATCTCTTTGAACAAGAGAAAAATGAAGGATACCTTCCAGGAAAGGTAAGACAACTCATGGGCATCATTGCATGCAACACAGTAAGCTGTGTCACCCTTCTCCTGAATGCAGCTAGTCCAATGTGGTTGGCAGTGACGGACAGCTGCCCAGAGTTTCAGACAGCAAATCTTCCATTGCTATGTGAAATGGTTGGGATTTGAACCTGGGACCTTTCCCAAGCAATGCATGGAATCGTAACCCCAAACTATCACTCCCAATTAAGATTTTAACAATATTTAAAATTTTGTTAGTACTTTAGCTTTTACCGGTATTATGAACTTCAGCGGTGCTACTCTCCAGAAGCATTGCAACTTCAATTCCTAGAATTCCATGTTCTACTGGCCAAGAAATATGGGGACTGTAGTCCCAATACAGTTGGGAGCCTAAGGTGAGGGGCCTAAATTGGAGAAGGCCGAGCAATGAAATGTGTTCCTTTCTGCAGTTGGCAGGAGAAATGTGGGACAGGAGCCCACTCTCCTGGGGTTCCAGAAAGCCATAAAACCTGGTTCTGTCCCCGGGCCAGAGGTTGATGTGTTTATGGGTGTGGTTTGATTTGTAACTTTGGTTGTTTTGGTCCAGGCTGCCTGTGGGGTTGTATGTTTTAACTGTTTTTATTGTTTTTGTGTCTTTGAAGCCGCCCAGAGTTTATTGGAGTGGGTAGCTATAAGAAGTTTAAATAAATAAATAATAATAACAAAGCAATGCATAGAAATGAAATGAAATAAATACAAGAAAGCAAACTTTCATTTCCACTTCTCATTCCTTTGAATGAGAAATCATCTTTAAATATGAAATATAAACATGTACTTTATTTAAATATAAAATACCCCCAACCCCACAAAACGCCAATGAACCTGCACGATTAATGCTGTGGTATCAATGGGAGTCACTGACGTGATTTTCTTCCTCTTCAGGGTCCGTATGTAGCAGCTTTTGCAGCCTCCAACCTGGGTGATGTGTCTCCAAATACAAAAGGCCCACATTGCATCAACACAGGAGAGCCATGTGAAAACATGGGCAGTTACTGCCCTGTAGGCGGGGTAAGTGTTAGACCTGGATCCAAGGTTTGAGTGTTTTGTGGTTGAAATCACATGGGGTTTTTAAGGACAACAAGTCAAAGCAGGATAGTTGGGAGTCTCTTTCGCACACTTTCTACTGTCCCAGGACTGAACAACGGTCTTGCCTCTCCCACTACCTTCTCAAGGCCAGAGTGACATTGAGCACAGCTAGGTTCTTTAGTTAAATCGAAATGTCAAAATAGGGAAGGATTACATTGTTATATGCCAGCAACAGATGCACGGAAAGGGCAGTATAAGAAAATCCCAGACGAAGATGGCTCTGTCCACTGACATGAATTTTATAGCAACCACATCCCATTTTCTTTTATGCCGTATTCTCTATCAGGCATCCGTACATCATCTCTATCAGGCATCTGTACATATATAATTCCAGGAGCAGTGGGTGTTCTATCTTTGGTGCCTTTTAGCAGATCAAAATGACTTAATTTCTCCAAATGTCTCTACATTCCGCTATATGGTCTGTAGAATACAGACACAACTGACTGTATGGATTAATATTAATGTTATATTGCTGTCAGTTTTAGTAATGTTATTAATTTTCTGATTTATATAGTTTTGGGCTTTGACCATAATACTTTACAGAACTAGTACTATAATGCTAGTTTTTATGTATAGGGTTTGCTTTATAGCTTGACTTTTCAATTGATTAACTAATTTTAATTAATTAATATGGCATTTATTTTTAATTGTTTGTGGGTTTTGTTTTAATTGTGAGCCACCCAGACTCACCCATTGGGGGAGAAGGGCAGCATTCAAATTTAATAAATAAATAAATAAATAAATGTTACTGTTAAACTAGACAGCATTCCATGTGCCGTCACAAACTCATCATTCATCAATCGTTCTCACAGAATGATTGTGATGATGGGCTAATCAACCTTACTTGGCCTTTCTCATCCCATTGTTCTGAGGAGGCTACGTGAGAATGAAACCTTTGCAAGCACATTCTAGCTCCCCATTCCTCTTTGATACCTGCCCTAGTTCTAGCTACAGAATGACATGGCTGACTAGACCATCCATGATCTGTAGGATCATCATTTCAGAGATATTTCTTTACCTAAACAGAGAAACAGAATGACTAACGGCAAAAAGCAGCGGGAGTGTGAGCGACGTGACTGCTACTGGCTTCCCCATTGACTTTTCTTGTGGGAAGCTGGCAGAGAGCGTCAGAAATTTTTCCCTCCCTCCCTCCCTCCCACATATAATATAGGCTTGTGCCATTTGGCTCCCGCTCACAAGCCTCAGGAGAGCCCCAGTGAAGCCTTCTCTTCCTCCTTCTCACCTGACCTGCAGAAAGGCCTGCCACTTTGCTGGGGAGAAGTGAAACAAAGGGAGCTGTGGACCATGAGGAAAACTGCACCCCTGCTCCCCTTTGTGGTGTGATCCCAAGGGCCCCCTCCCTCGAGGGAGGAAGAGTCTCACCCATTGATCACCGACACCTCCCAGCCAGCCGTACCTTGCCAGCAGGCTTCCGAGTTGCTCCCTTCTTCTTCCTCCAATGCCCACAGACGTTAAGAGATTTCAAATTTCTGCCTTGTTTCCAAAGCAGCCAATTGTCGCTCACCTGTCGGGCCTTGCCACCATCCAACTGGGCACAGGGGACAGATGGAGGCAGGAAAGAGGTTGGGGATACGCCCATAGCGATCACATGAGCTCAGCTGATCATGCCAGCGCAGCAGCACAGTAGTGCTGATGCAGCCACAAATTTCCCAAATTTCAATCCCGCAGGATTAATGGGCCCTGGATTTTGGGTGTGTTCTGTAAGTTAGCCCACTTGAGGAACCCTGGTTCAAAAATTGCTGCCGTATGACACACCGTTTCATCTAGGTGAAGGTTACAAACATGAGAGTTTTAGTAGTATATAGATAGGACCTTGGTGGTCAATTCCTTTCTTCTCCTCTTCAGTAGAGAAAGTGCTCTGTAGGACCCAATGGAGCATTCCTGAGAAAAAGCCTCTCCCTCATCTCCTTCAGTCAAGTCAAGTCTGCCATATCACAAGGCTGGTCATTTACATTTCACTATTTTTTTAAAAAATCAACCCAGAGATAGTAGAAATTTTCCTTCAGGCAGTGTCCACCAATTATGACTTCTATCAGATGAAGTTTTCTGGACTGCACTTATTTCATTTACCTGCTGCAAATCCATACCACCATGTTTCTCAAGAACTCACTGAATGCAGGAGTTGATCGACTGTTGCTGCATACAATACTTTGGCATGAATGGTGTTGTGCTGCTCGGTATGGCGTGTTTAATCAAAAACAAAAAAATTAAAAAACCACCCAAGTATTAGAGCTATATAAAATACGCTGCCTGACTAGCAGCAAGTGAAAGGGAAATTGAAATGGGTTTATAATCAGGACTCAGAATAGAGGGAATAAAGATAAAATGGAAGGAAGGGGATGCAGAGATGAAGGCTGGTCAAGCATATGAGACTTTTCCCTTCTACTCTGTTGTTCTGAAACTCAATTTAGGCCAAGATGTGCATTGCTACAGGTCCTGGAGAAGACATGTTTCAGAGCACACAAATAATTGGGAGACAAATCTACTTGAAAGCAAAGGTAGGTCTAGAAATGTAAAATTCTTGGAAAAGATGAATGCTAGAGTTTGTCACTTTTCTTGATAACATGCCACCTTTCATTTCCTTTTAATTAGAATATTTTTTCTGTTTTTTAAAAAAACTTTATTTAAGAACGGTACAGCATATACAGATATGTCAAATACAGTGGTACCTCGGGTCACAAACGCTTCTGTTCATGACCAATTCGGGTCACCTTCCGCAAAATTTTGCTTCCATTCGGGAACTCCGCATCAGGTGACGAACAGGATCCGCGGCCATTTTCCCTGCTGTGACACATGGTC